GACTGAATTTACATACAATGGCTCTTTCAAGGTATCAACCTCTAAGCCTAGATCCCTCACACAAGATGCAGATATGAATGAATGTGATGCACCAGAGTCAAATAACACCCTAGCCCATAAGCGAGAGAGTAGAAATGTACCCTGAATGACTAACTGATCTACTAGTTCAGTCTGAGGTGTGATGGCGTAGACATGCCCCTGGATCCCTGAAGTCCTGGCCTACATGCACTGTCCTCGGTCTTGACCCATGCCCTAGCCCTGCTGGCTTGATTGTAGAGTCCCCGCTCGTGAAGTGGTAGAGGCCTAATTAGCACCCTAGAACTGATACTGGCTTCCCTCGCCCATGGTGGGATAAGGAGGAACAAAGTGAGTATGTGTGTGCCCCATCGATGACTGGGACTGGGACGCCTCGTAACTCTAGGATCGCTGCCTCTGAGGACAATCCCACTTCATGTGACCCAACTGGTGGCAATGAAAACATGTCATCTAACCCGCTTGAGAGGAAGGCCTCTGATTTCTCTCACCTTGGGAGGATTGACCTTGGCCTTGGCTTTGATAGCCGTGACCCTGTCCTTGTTATCCTTGCAGAGTAGAAGTCCTCTGCCTATGTCCCAAACTAGAAAAAAAGGATTGACCCTACTTCTTCTTGTCCTTGGCACCTGTCTCCCGGATGCTTCATGCGTTATCAAACTCTCTCTCAATGCCCATAGCTATCTCGACCATCGAGTCCAAGTCTTGTAGGCAAAGACCCACAATTTTCCCTTGGATAGATAATTTCAATCCATCCTCGAACCTCTTTACTTTGGCCATATCCGTGGCCATGTAGTCATCGACAAAATGGGCTAACTCTGTGAACTTAGCCAAGTATTCCGTCACCGTCATGGTTCCTTGTTTCAAATCCAAGAATTCATGGGCTTTAGCATGTCGAACAGTCACGGGGAAATACATGCCCATGAAGAGCTCCCGGAACTCTCCCTATGTCATCACCTCTAAGTTCTTCGCATCCTTCGCCAAATCCCACCATAGTTGGGTTTCTCTTTCTAGCTGGAATGCAGCTAGCCTTATCTTTTGTGGCATCGGAGGTGATATCCATTGCTTCTAAAATGTTGTTAACTTGTCGGAACCAATGGTCGGCCACTATTAGATCCGCCCCTCACTTAAAATTTGGAGGATTATGTGCCTTGAACCGTTGGAGGTTACTTGAGCCTCCTTGTCCAACACTTGCACTTGCCTGTGCAATAGTAGCAACCGCAGTACCAATAGCCTCCATGAAGGCTTGTTGATCGAAGGCCGGTGGTGGTTAATTATTGTTCCGCCCACCACCTCGGCGTCCTCTTCCTCTACTTGCCATCTACGCACATGTAAGACAGCAATAGAGCACCAATTTAGTATCCTAAAGTAGGGATCAAATTTGAAACCTTGAGATTCATCTCCTTGTCTCCCCTAGTAGAGCTTATGCCCCCACTAGTAAATATTTACACCTTGAACCATCCCGTTCCCTTATTTTTCCGACCCCAAGGTTATGTTTTCTAACCCTAGTGTCTTTTTTCCATATACATTTGTACCATGCATATCATTCACATAACATATAACACATAATATGTAGCAATTTAAGCACATAACATGAAATGCACAATGAATGCAATGGTCTAGACCCTTGCCCATCAAGCCCTAGGTAAATCGTATACCTAAGCTCTGATACCAAGCTGTGACGCCCCTAAAACCGGGGGTCCTTTGTCTACCGTTGACCATCTGTCAACTCGCAAAAATACTCGTGATTGTCGCCCAATCCGACATCACGTCAATAGAATCCTTTTAACCGGGATTGTTACCTACATGTATAACCTGTGTGTGTTCTACCATTTTACCAACCAAGGTCTGATATACCCCAATTTATCCTTATTTATTGTCCATTTATATCCTTAGAACCAAAGAACCCCAAGTCCAAAAGCATGGGAAGACAGTTTTAAAGTTTCAAATTTTTTTGAGAACCTACTGGTAGGACCTACCGGTAGGTTTTATCTATAGGAAAAGTCCTACTGGTAGTTTTTTCCTGATAAACAAAATTTTGCCTGTACACGATTATACCGATAGGTCTTGCCCAGATTTGTCTATTTCACATGTTTCTCATTTCCAATTCATTTCAAAATATATTATTTCCATCCAACCCACGTATAAAGAAGATTTTCATATTACGCAAGGTCCATACCAATTCTATTACATTCATTCCCATGAATTTACACATCAGACAAAGTTGTCGTAATCATTTACAATTTTTCAAAATAAAGCCACATCCCGGCTTTCTTCATCCTTGAGGTCCCATTCGAGGGCCTTCCATCGGAGCATATCCCGCACCTGAAATATTTTTTTCTATAACGTGAGCCACGCCTAGTAAAGTATTTCCTATAGAGGCTACTCCCCAAACCTAAGTGTATATGAAATGCTCGCATGCAACATTTAACAATCAACAACAATTTCAGCCAAGGTTAAGCAAATCTATATTGGAATATAACATGTCATGCCATGATATGAGATGACACCCACTATTGCAACTCAACCTGAGCCCTTCCTAGCTCCTTTCACCCATGCAATGCCATGAGTATAAAATCGGGCTTTCGAAGCCCCCGCCATTGGCGTTACACACCCAATGACAATTTTTTTTTTTAAAAAATATCTCCGGGTCTTTTTTGGGGTGGGTTTTTATGGACTTCCACAAACGGCACCCAATCGACACGAGATCTGTGGACTTCCACCAACGATGCTGCCTACACCGACACACTTTATGGGCTCTTATACCAATGGAGTGCGTATCCGATTACCGGGTCTCTCACCTGACGGATTGTCTAGCCCTTCTTTCTAACCCTGACCCAATTCTTTTTTCATGCAATAGTGCAACTTAGTCGGATCTTTGATCCGACTTTCTCGAGCCCAGCCATCATCCGCCTATGTGGTGTTTGATGTCAACCATGCACACACACACCCACACACATGTCCATGGATGCGGTTCCTCCATGCAAATGTAATGTAATGCACCATTGCTAGATCAATGTTATGCCCCATATGTAATGAATGCCATATGAGCAAGTTTAACCACCTTTCTACATATTCCATGACCAATTATATTGTATGCATATAATCACCAAACTTTATCACCATGCTAATGTGTCAATAAATGTACATCAACATTTAATATCCAAGAATATATCCGAAGCATGTTATTACATAATATGTACCCATAACACACTTCAATCATAAATGCATAATATAAACATATAGCATACCCACATAATATCAAATTTCATGAAATTACACAAGTAATTTCCACATTTTAATTCCAAGCTAGGAAATTTATTTCAAACCATTTCAATACCCATTTTTCATCAATTTCACAAACATGGTAAGTGTTAAGTCTCTAACAACCTACCCATCTCATATAACACCCTAAGTTAGAAAATAAACCAAAGTAGGAAGGAACCCTACCTCTTGAAGCATACAATCAACTTAGAAGACCTTCAAGAACACCAATGGAACCTAAGCCTTGATTTTCCTCAAATCCCGTTTTTGGAGGTTTGGTAAAACCCGTCATTTTTGGTGTGGTTGCGTAGCCCTTGACGCGTAGAACAATCTTTGTTCTTGGCTTGAGTGGATTTGAGCACTTGATCTCCAAAGATCATAGAGAGAAGTGGAGAATCCAAGTTTTTCCCTTTCTTCCTCTCACACGTTAGAACCGACTAATGAATAAGGGGAGAAATTAGATTTTTTCTTTTATTTATACCCTCTATTTACTTGGGCCACAATGCGCTACAAGGCTCTCTTTTTCCCAGGTCCGTTTTAGCCCCGAAACGATTAAATTTCATCCTGGTTTAAGTTCAAAATATTTTTATTTTAACTTGCCTCAAATGATTTTCCAATTTTCAAAATTTTAGTAACAATCTCGTTTTTGGGTCACCCGAGACTCGATCACCTCGTAAAACGTAAAAAATTCAACTATCTCGAAATTCGACAAACATTAACGGGGTAACTATATTTCGCGAGACGAATTCAATGGGGAGGTCTGTTTTGTCATCTGAGATCTAGAAAATTTTAAGTTTTTAACCCATACCGTAGTGGCAAATTACTGGTTTGCCCCTTTAGTAAAAAGTTCAAATTACCCGGGTTTTACATTTGAGGAGTTTAACGTTATTTTGTTATATTTTGACTAATATTTTTAAAATAAATTATTTATTTATTTATCATTTTTATTCTGTTTCTGCAATATTTATGTACTAAAATAATACACCATTTTTTTTTATTATTGCCGACATAATAGGTTGAAAGAATATTGGATGAATTTATTTTTTAATTAGTGAATATAGATAGAGTGGCTTTAGTATCTAATAGAGTGAGTACAGACGAAGTGAAATTAGTAGTTTGAAGTGTGAGAATTAAATAGGATGGAAAAAAAAAATTAAGGGGTGGAAATAGTCCCACCCAAAATTTTATTGGACCACTAAACCTATACAGATAAGCTTTGAGGATTTTTTTTTCAATCAAACTTAGTTTTGATCAAACATGTTAAAACATTTTCAACTTGAAATTAACTTGCTTAAAGTCCACCTCTTGACATAAGGGAGCAATTCATGTTTTTGCCACACCAACAGTCGCGTGTAGAGAGTTCATTAGAGGATAGGATAATATCACGATGATTAATAAAAAAGACACCCATACCAAAATTACACACTCGAATAATTTTACATCCATTACTAAAATACCAAAATCCTTAAACGCATGTTTTCCCGAAAACACAAAAGGACACTTGTGAAATCAGACAATTCGAGTCCATCTGGACTTCATATGTCCAGACTCATTAAGATCAAGATTTATTTTGAAACTACAACTCACTAAAGCCAACCAAAGCTTAATAACATACAACGAAGGCACACCCTAACAACAACAAGCTTTTAACATGAAGTACAAAAATTATACGCTGTAGTTAGTAGTGACACAATTCAACGGTATATTCAGTAAGTAGGAGTGTACATACAACTTTCAGCATACTTCACCAGATTCTCAGGTCGAGGGAGATGTGTCGCCACACCTACAAAGCATTTATGTAATGTGGCAAACATAAATTCATGTCTTGGCAAGTAACTTTGAACAAAAATAGGGAAAAGAAAATGTACTCACCAAGTTCATATGCTTTAGTAGCTACCTTAGCAGCAATGTGAGCAGAGATCTTTTTGATATTAGTGAATGGAGGGTAAATCATGCCCTTAGCTAAATGCTCCTTCGTTACTTGACCAACCAAAGCTTCCACTCTTTCAATGGAGACATCTAGAAAATTAATATCGAGAGAATTCTGTTGCTTGCTTTACTGCAATGACAACCTAACATTGTGTTGCCTTTAAAGTCACTGTAATCTGAAAGACATATCGTAACGTTTTCATTTTTCACCACACAATATTTTAAATGTCTAGAGTGTAGAGATCTGAAAAAAGTGAGGATAAATTTTTTAGTTTTGCCGGTAGGGCACTATTCATGCACCATTTGCTGGTAGGGTATTACGTATGAATCATAAGTCATGTTTAGAAGAATAATTTGAGTATGTCATAGAAGATAAACATGTTTATAATGTTAAAATACATCTACTATGCAAATTTGAGCCTAAACGGAAATAGTTGTAAAAATTAGACAAAAAAGGTATCTCGGGAGGCCTAGGTGGGACCGGCCAAACCCGGCCACTAGCGAAAATTTATATTTTTAAAAATATTCATTTAAAATAATTTTGGTCAAAATAAAATGTCAAATTGAGACGTTTTGGGACGAGTTGTAGTGTAACAGGGTCCCGAATTCATCAAGGGCAAAGATGTCAAGTATTCTGTTTTTGTCATTCACTTGAATCGGAGCACCTAAATTTGTAGACAATATCGGTATGCAATAGTAAATTCAACACTATTCTTCATTATATACTTACATGCTACAAGAAGCATTTCATCATGGACCCGAATCGCATCAGAGATGACCAAGCCAAAGCCAAACACAGGGAAAATATGCTATAATAACATAACCATAAATGTGTATATGGTGTTAAGCCAACACTTGTTTTGACATCTCAAGAGCTATAAGCTTTACTATACCAGTCCCAACCTACAATTACAAGATGACAATCCTGAGACAAATCAATTGTGATCTTATTTTGACAGTTAGATACCATATGTCACCAATTTAAGGGCTTGGAAGGCGATAGAAAAAACCAGGAAAATTGAACATGTCCATCAAGAAATTGTGAGAGGTTTAGTTGAAGATGTGGTAAGACCAATGCTTTGTTGTTTCCGTTGTAGTATATCCTAACCTCCGAACATCATCCTTCAATGTGTATAATCTATGTGTGGAGGAGTGTCACTCCCCCTTGGAATGATGTCAAAAGAAAGGGCAACGGAATGGTGGGTGAATGAAATGTATGAAATGTGTGTGTGAACAAAAATGCTCCCCAAGTGCATAGAGACTTTTGCTTGTCATGTTTTACTTGGAATTGTATTTGAAGGTCGTCTCCTCGGGGAAGGAGGTGTATCATCATGAAGGTGATTTTTGTAAAAATAAAGCGAAAAATCTTTTGTTGGTTGAAGGTTGGTTTGTGATTGTGATGAAAATGAAATAGAACAAATGTTGGTTAATCCAAAGGGTTCACTCCAATGGGAATACCAAGTCAACTCGAATCCTTCCCCCAATAGAGCATAGATGTCCGATTGATTCGTGGGATGCTAGGGATGAGATGGAACTGAGGATCCAAGTATAACCCATGATAAGTCTACAGGATATCAAAGACTCACAATCCCGTCCACCCTCTACCTAGTCAAACTGAACCATCGTACTCTGAGAGGAGGAAGGAAAATGAGTTGAAATGGCATACCCAAGAGGAGGTCTCCCTTGGATTAGCCAACTTAAAGGTTTAGCTACTCATGCTTAATGTAAAGACAACAATGTAATGAGAAGACATTATGAAGAAATGAAAATTGGAGCTAAGCTAATGCAAAGAAACATAAACTAAGAGAGAAAACATTTAATACCCACTTTTAAAACATTTAGTACTCACAAAATGCACAAATATAACTTCCGGATGATTTATATGTGTCCATCATCTCTTTCTAAAGAGTGAATGAGAAATTACTCACTCTTCATGGCTTTGGTAAAGTTAGAAAAGTGAGTGATGCTCATCCCTCCAGGTAGAGGAATTATAAGGTAAAACATATTACACAATGACCTATCTTCGACAAAGAATGAGTGAATCACGTTCCACCCTTCACGGCTTTGGTAAGCTCTAGAAAAGTGGAAGAGTTTCACTTCTCAAAGGGAAGAAGGAAGCTCAAACAATGGAAGTAAAAGAAAGCAATAATACAATAAAAGAAAACAATACTTAAATTAAAAGAAGCAATAAATTAAAAGAAAACAATAATACAATAAAAGAAAGTAATACTTAAAGAAAGCAATAATACTTTTGGAGGTTTTTCCATTGCCAAAAGATGAATGTTTTTCAAGTCCTAAGGGGTGGTATTTATAGGCAACAAGGGAGGATGAAAGTCTTGTTTGGCTGCTTTGAATTACACTTTGATCCCTCTCTGTATTGAGCTTTGATAATTTGTATCCAATAGTTTGTAGTTTTGAAAATTGACACCCTATAGTTTGTAGCTTTGACACAATTGGGTTCCCTAGTTGTTTGTAGCTTTGACACAATTGACTCCCCAGTAGTTTGTAGCTTTGACGCACAAAACCCTGAAAAGAATAACAATTAATGCATTATCCCTAATTCACACACTAACCCTAATTTGACTTATTTTGACTAGTTTAAGTTTGTTTAACTAACACAATTGACCTATTAACTTAATTAAATTATACATTAATTAGGGTTAATCAGCCAACATCAAGGTGTATGATTGGTCACATTGGTTTTTTTCCCCATCAATTCAGTCTTTCTAGTAGTTTTTGACATATAACCAATTTGCTCCATAGACTAATGGTGAAAGAATACCTCAAATAATTCTCAAACAGGGATAGAGGGGTCGTGGGTAGGGCACACAACCCCAAATGGATTGGGTTCATGATTAAGATCCCCCGAATGCCCATCCATAAATTGTTACCCTAATGTCAACCGATCCATAAATTATAACACTAAACCTGAATTGTAACTCCAAGTGGTACTTTATTTTGTAATTTTGGTCATCTTCAAAAGTATATTTTGATTGGTTTTGATTTGAATGTTTTTGTAATACAAATGTAGAACTATTTACTTTAAATATACTTCTGTGATTTGAATGTTTTTGTAATACTAATGTGGAACTATTGACTTTTGTTATTCACAACCCTTGGTTGGTAGGTTGTTTTGCGTTGCGGTTTAAAGCAATACCCTATTCATTTGGTTGGTAGGTTGTTTTGCGTTGTAGTTCAAAGCTATACCCTATTCATGTGGCCTCAATGGCGCTTCCATTTCTTGGTCTTCAAGCTTGAAACTCTTATCGTAAGTATCGAAGTAATGATTGGCCGTGTGTATGGAAGTATAGTTATGCAAATACAAGAGTGAAAACAATCCGAATAATAGTTCCCAAGCAAATGGTGACCCAAAACAAGTGTACAAATAAAGTCTATCTTCATCACGCCACGTATTAGAGAAAATATCATACCCCATACCCATACCAAATCAAGTAATCAACCCACGATCTAAGGAATATCTGTGTCAAATAGAAAATCCTCAAAGCAACCCAGATTTTGGAGCACAAATAAATAAAATATTTTGGAAAGTCACTAATATTTCCTCTATAAGTTTTTGGTGCCATCATTACTTTACTTCTATACTATACCACACTCTACCTAGTTATTTTTACTTATCTGCCTAGGATGTTAAGATTTAGAAATAGGAGGAGTAGAATCTCACTTGCCCAACACCAAGGAATAAGAATATGTGGTCAACCAAAGTACCACCAAGTAAATTTAGTGCTGCAACAAGCCCTACAAGATCCACAGCTGCTGTACCCTGAAAAATGGAAACAACAAATTAGACAAGAACACAGAATACCTTCTAGTGACAATATCAACCACGACGTAACACCTGTATATCATCATTGAAGACCAGATGAGTAGTGCAATATTTCGCCAGTAGCTCAAAAGCATTGTAATTTGCAAAATCTTCAAACTGAGAGAGTTCATAAAATTTTTTTTACGAATGTTAGAAATGCTTAAATAATTCTAAAATCCAAAAGCCTAAATCTTGGGTGAAGTCTAACACATTAGAGCGATATTTCACTTACCTGTACTAGAAATTTTTCACCATAGTTTTGCTGAACAGCAGTCATGAATTCATGTAAAAAGTCATAATATTCCTGGGGTAGGAAAAACTGTCATCCTTCAACAACTGCTCATTGTTTGTCCCACATCAATAGTTATAGGCAAACACTACATCAGGAGGTAAAAAAATTTCATTAGTACAGTGAACCAAAATGATAGTGCCAAACCAAACTCTAGAAATTTTGATCAAGCTCATAAATAAACAATGTCAAATAGATTTATTTATTTAATATAGTGAAGAAAACCATACTAAGATAGATGAGTTTCATGTGCACTAAAGAAAAACTTTAAGAAAGTAATTATCCCAACATCCAAATAGAATAGTCAAACAAAAATGATAGTTTCCATTTGTTGTGGTTCTTACCGCTAAAGGTCCAACTCCTTTCTCACACTCCCTAAGGGCTAGCCACCCTTATCCCTTTTTATTCTAACTCAACTCAAGCCGCAATAACTAATTAGAAAACTCAAGTCGGCGCAAGCTTGGATACCATGTAACATAAAAAAAAACAAGAACAACATCATATCCATCTTCAACCTTTGATACATCCAATTTTTTTAAAAAAAGCTGTTGATATAGGCAATGGAAAAATTAAATAGAGATAATTATTAATGTAATAACAAAAACATAACAATCACTTAGATGAAAAAGACAAGTTTATAAGTGGAACAAATAGGAGTTTGGTAATATTTTTGATCGTATTAAAGTTCTTGAGGAAAAGATGAGGTTGTTGAGATCCTTAGTGAAATAGAGGATTCATTGGTTAACCAACAAGCGCTTGATTCTCATAAAAAAGATCTTGATGATGTCTTGAGGCTTGAGGTGGTGTATTGGAAGCAAAGGCGAATGTGAAATGGAATGTGGAGGGCAAAAAAAAATACTAAATTATATCATGTCTTAGCTAAGGGAAAGGCAGTTAGAAATAGAATTCAAAGAATTCAGAATGGAGAGGGTGTGTGGATTGATAATGAGGAGGAGATTGAGAAGTGTGCTGAGGACTTTTGTGCTACTTATATAAAACTGAAGGGCATGAGATGCAGGAGCATTTATTTGAAGTTATTCCTAGAATTGTGATGGATGAGTTAAATGCTGAGATTCGTAGATAAGCAATCTGTTGTTTTTTCTTTGTCAATTCACAGTGCTCCTGGGGTGGATAGGTGGTCTAGAAAATTTTTCTAGGCAACCTAGGATATCATTAAGTGTGATGTGTTAAAGGCAGTTAATTTTTTTCTTAAAGGTGACAAAATTCCAAGGTCTTTAAATGCTACTTTGTTGGTGATAATTCCTAAGAAGCTTAATCCATTTCTTTTGCTGACTTTAGGCCTATCAACTTATGTAATTTTCTTTACAAGATTTTTACTAAGTTTTTGACCTCTAGATTAGCTCCTTATGCTGGTTGTGTTGGTGTCTGAGGAGCATCATGTTTTTTTCAAGGGTAGAGGTATTGGGGAATGTATTTCCTTGATTGAGTTAATGGTGAATGACTTGGATAGGAAGGTGGAGGGTGAGAACATGATTTTAAAGCTTGACATGATGAAGGCGTATGACAAGATAGAGTGGGCTTTTTTTGTTGAAAGTGCTTTCTTGTTTTGGATTTTATGAGCTCTTTTGTTAAGATCATTGGAATGTGTTTGGGAAATCAAAACATTTCTCTGTGTGTGAATGTTTTGAGAAGGGGTTTTTTTCCTTCTTCTAAGGGGGGTTAAGGCAAGGGGTTCCCATCTCCACTTTCTTATTTGTGTTGGCTAAAGAGGTCTTGAGTAGGGGTCCTATGCAGAATTTATCAGGAGGGTCTAGTGAAAGGTTTTCATCTGGGAAGAGG